TACAACCACCATTGTTAATTCCCTACCACTTTGTTTGTAACTCTGTATTGTCTGTATTGTGCTTGTGATATGTTGTAAAATGTTGTATGTCTGTTAAGGTTTCCCTCCTTTTATCTTTAAAATAAAAAAAATTCTTTAACAAACATTTATCTATATTTTTAAAAGTGGATTTGAGAAACAAAAACATGATAGAACACTTCATAAACCATCTTGCATAATAAAGTAAACAATAATGATATATGTTTTTGCAATAATAAACACTGAGGTACACTAGTAACCGCCACATAGGTACAGCAGACAGTCATGAGCAACTGTACTCATAAAAAGAGGTCAAAGAACACAGTGTATTATCACCTGTCAGTACCGTTGGCAACTGTGTGCATCCAAGTGTATAGCTGTTGGCATGTGAAATACCACAACAGACAACTAAGTTTTGTGAAAAGATGGATCAAAAACCACAGTGTTGAGTCAAGTCATCACAACACACAGTTGTAGAAAAGATTGGGCCCTCAAAAAGATGCAGATGTTAAAGACATCTCTTCATGTACAAGAGTATTTCAATGTTTTCATGTACATGTACACACAACGTCAACACTGTGATAATGAGCTTTTGCTGAGTCAAAATGTGGGGGAAAAAAAGCACCACAAAACAGGTTAGAACTCTCTGAGTCATTATACAATTTAACTGTCTTGGAAATGATGCAAAGATGAAATCCATTGCACAGTAAATGGGATGCCAGAGTCTGGTACTGGCCTAAGTCCTAAAGGCTGGTGAGCTAGGAGTTTGCTTGTTCAAGGCAGCACAAAAAAATTCTGTCTCAACTCTCAGAGATCTATCTGCCTTCTGTATTTTTTCCCTCTGAGCCACCATAGACTGGCTGGTCTGTGTCCACATTAAGGGTGGATTTTCCCTACTTAATCCATTGAGATTCACATAATAATCTCCAGTGGAAACATATACACACAAAATAATGCTGTACTGGGTTTCTAGGTATTCATTCTGGCTAACATGATGCAGCTATTCTCTGTATAACCAGAAACATTCATCTCTTCCCCAGAATTTGGCTTTCCATCCTCCCTTTTTTGCAATGAGATTTTTTTGTTTGTTTGTTTGTGGGATTTCAGCGTTTGGGATCTGAACATTTCACAGCTGTGACTTGGGGAATTTTAGACTTTAGGGATTTTGATCTTTCAGAATTTCAATATTTGGGATTATGGAATTTGAGACTGTGTCTTTTGAAATTATGATTGATATAGGGAGAATCTACATTTCTACACGATTATTATTAATATCATAAAGCCTTAGGGGTGAAGGGAGGTTAGCTCTGCTTTTGTATTAACCAAGATGATTTTTATCAACGTGATTTTCACACATCTAAATGTGCTTTCAGGTTACTTGTACCATTAGTCACTGATACTTGGTTGAAAACATTTACTAAAATGTCTTCTACCAGAAAATAGTTTGGTCAGCACTTTCTCATGAGGCTTCATCTTACTCTTAGGAAGTAGAAATGATAGTGTTATGTTTATTTGAGGAAACAGTGAAAATGAAATAGTCCAAGCTTTGGAGGTAATGCTCAGCCTATAAAACAATAATTCATAATAAATCTAAAAAGGAACTGAGTTTTGATCAGAGTTCATTTTTTTTTCAGAGTCTATTTTAAAATGCTATTTTGGATAAATGTTTTTAGCTCCGGGTGTCCCATTGCTACACCCACGGAAGTGAGGGACACCCATGTAGCTGGCTGTCCTTAATGGGAGACTACAAACACCAGATACTTTGGAAACTTTCTAATTTAACGTGATTTTTTTCCATGAACAAAACATAAGTAAATGTAAGCCTCTTTTTTAAAAACATTATTTCAATTTTATTTTATTTATTTATTTTTTTGTTTGTTTTGGTTTTTCTCCGGTACCGGGAACCGAACTCACCACCTTGTGCTTGCTAGGCAGGCACTTTGCCGCTGAGCTAAATCCCCAGCCCCGATTATTTCAATTTTAAAAATTCACTCTTTAATAAGCAAGGCTTGTTAAAACTTGCCATATAAATTTGGTTTAAGGCCTTTCCAGCAGTTTATCAACTATAATGAGGAAACCTCCTTGAAAAGGTTTTCATCTATGAAAGTCAAGTAGGAACGAAAGTACGCAGAGGTGAAGTCAGATGACACCGGGGTCAGGGTGGTGACTGAAACCTCAAAAGAGCCTCTGTTACTTTACAGAGAGGGGCAGGAGCACGGCACTAAATCTGGGGGCGTTTGTCATATTCTGGGCGTCTCTCTCACACTCCACGACTGAGAAAAGAGGGTTTGCAGATCCTCACAGCTCCAGAAGGAAAGAAGTACAAACGCTGCACTCCGCTGTACATAAAGACAAGGTCAGGTACCGGATGGGTGGGGCGTGAGCAATTGGGACAGGTGTCCAAGGAAAACGGGACGGATCTAGAATCTGCTGTCCGGCGAGGACCAGTCCTCCTCGCAGCTCTGCCTCCCGCCCCGAGCTGCGACCGCGGAACCGGGGTGGGGTTTGAGGGAGGGGAGCGCACTGCGGACCCGGGCGACTCCCGGAGGGGTCGGCTGCAGCCTGCGGCGCGAGCCCCGGCCCTCCCTCACCTGCGGAGCTCGGCTTCATCAGCAGCGCGTGGCCCACCAGCGGGTAGGCGCGGGCCACGGAAGGGATGGGCTGCATCTGCCGCCACTTCCGCGCGTAGCCCGCCAGCATCTGCAGCGCGCCGAGGAGCAGGGTGGCGCCCGCCAGGGAGACGGCGCCCGCCGCGCCCCACAGGAGCAGCTTCTGCGCGACCAGCTCCAGCCAGAGCCCCATCCTCTCGGGCGGC